TCCTGGGTCTCCAACCCCCATTCCTGGTTTCCAGCCCCCATTCCTGGATCTCCAACCCCAATTCCTGGGGTCTGACCCCAATTCCTGGGTCTCCAGCCCCCATTCCTGGGGTCCAACCCCAATTCCTGGGTCTCCAGCCCCCATTCTTGGGTCTCCAACCCCCATTCCTGAGATCCAGCCCCCATCCCTAGTTTCCAACCCCAATTTCTGGGTCTCCAACCTCCATTCCTGCTGTCCAGCCCCCCTTCCTGGCATCCAGCCCCCGTTCCCGGGTTTCCTGGTGTCCCCCCACCCCATCCCCGCTCACCTTGTCCCCCCCCGTGTCCCCTCCCAGTTCTCTGCCGCCTCTTCACCGTCGGCCACCTCATGGAGCCGGTGGCCAAGACGGTCATCGTGGAGATCAAGGTGGGTGACCCGGGGGGGGCATGGGGACACGGGGACCCGCTGCCACCCCCGGTGCCACCCCTCCGACCCCCACTCGTGTCCCCCCCCCAGACGCCCGACAACATCATCATCAGACAAACACCCGTGTCCTCGCCCACCAAGAGCGGCATCCTGTCCATCAACCACAACCTGCCCGAGGTTGTCAGGTGGGTGTCACCTTCCCGGGGGGGGTGGCATGGGGACATCCAGGCCCACGGCATTGTCCCCTGACCCTCGTGTCCCCCCCCTTCCCCCAGCCTGGGCATGTGGACGGTGCTGGCCAAGTTCGAGGACTCCCCGGAGCAGGTTTTCACCACCCAGTTCGAGGTCAAGGAGTACGGTAAGAGGGGCGTGGGGGGCACCTGATGCCAATTTTGTGCCCCAAAAAGGCGCAAGGAGCTACTCAGAGACAAAGTTTTAGTCTTTAAGCAGCGAGGTATTTATTGCAAAGCAACGCTGGGGAGCTCCCGACTCGCGCTGGATGAAAGAGCTCCAAAGCGGGCAGCGAACAGCTGCACTATTTATACAATTTTCATAGGAGATTACATCAATTCTACACAAATATTCCTATTATTGCCACATCTAGTTATAACATTCACAGCAGGCAGAGTCAAGGCAGAGTCCAGGGGCATGACCATCATTTTGGGGAGGCTTTCAGGGGTACATCCTGTTACTTCAGCCTCAGGTGGTTGTCTTCTGGCTTCTCTTCCTCAGTAAACTTTTGAACTCTTTAATTTTGGCTGACTCCAACATGCATTTGGCAGGAGTTTCTGATGTTGGGCAAGAGTGCCTAGGCCTTGGCTCTTCTTTTTCCCCTTATCTCCCTCTGTCTTCCTCCCATATGTCTATTTTACGTGTATGTCAGCATTTTTGTTCTCTCTGTTTTCCCGTGCGCTCACTTTCTGTCCTTTCGTGTCAGTGTGTTCAGCGTTCCTTGGTGAATTATTATCTATAATTATGATTTATTATATTAATATTTATATTAATATTAATTATATCAATATTATTAATATTATTACTATTAATTATATTAATAATTATGAATTATTGTTCTTGAAGCTCAGTTCTCTGTGTCTTTGCTCAGAGTGTGCACTCTAAGTTAACTCTTCAGGTCTTGTTTTGCTACACTGCATTAGCTTTTCAGGCCTTTCGCTCTGTTTCACACCCGGGGGGGCACCCGGGGGGGCACCCAGGGGTTTGGGGACAAGGAGTGACCCCTCCCGTCCCCCCCCTCAGTGCTGCCCAGCTTCGAGGTGGCGCTGGAGCCGGAGGAGAAGTTCCTCTACATCGACCGCAAGGAGGATTTCCGGGTGTCCATCACGGCCAGGTGGGCGCGGGGACCCCAAAAACGCCCCCCCGGGGGGGTCAGAGCCGCTGAGGGGACAGGGTGGGGACCCCAAAACCATCCCCCCCCGGGGGGATCAGAGCCTTCGAGGGGATGGGGTGGGGACCCCAAAACCTCCCCGGGGGGGTCAGAGCTGCTGAGGGGACGGGGTGAGGGCACCTTCCGGCTCTGCTGCTGTCCCCGGGGAGAAGGGGGTGGCACAGGGATGGGGTGGAGGGTGAGGAGGGCACAGGGTGGGGGGGATGTGGAGGGACAGGGTGTGATGGGGTGACAGGGGACACAGGGACAGGGACAGCGGGACTGGGACAATGGGGTGACAGGGTGTGATGTGGTGACAGGCTGTGATGGGGTGACAGGCTGTGATGGGGTGACAGGGAACACAGGGACAGGGACAGTGGGATGAGGATGGGGACAGTGGGGGGACAATGGGGTGAGAGGGTGTGATGGGATGACAGGGGACACAGGGACAGGGACAGCAGGACGGGGACAATGGGGTGACAGGGTGTGACGGGGTGATAGGGGACAGAGGGACAGGGACAGCAGGACGGGGACAATGGGGTGACAGCACTGTCCGATGGCGATGTGGGGACCGGGGGGCCGGTGCTGTGGCTGTGGGAGGGACACGCGGTGGCAACGCTGACCCGTCCCCAGGTACCTGTACGGGAAGCGTCTCTACGGCACAGCCTTTGCCCTATTTGGGGTCATGGTGGACGATGAGAGGAAGAGCATCCCCGAGTCCCTGAAGCGCATTCCGGTGACCCTACCCTGTCCCTGTCCCCATCCCTGTCCCCACCCCTGTCCCTGTCCCTGTCCCCACCCCTGTCCCCACCCCTGTCCCCATCCCTGTCCCATTCTCAGCTCTCCCATCTCTGTCCCATTCTGAACTCTGCCATCCCTGTCCCCACCCCATATTGAACTGTGCCATCCCTGTCCCCATCCCTGTCCCCATCCCTGTCCCTTACTGAGCTCTGCCATCCCTGTCCCCATCCCTGTCCCATCCCTGTCCCATCCCTGTCCCCATCCCTGTGCCATCCCTGTCCTCATCTCAATCCCATATTGAACTCTACCATCCCTGTCCCCACCCCTGTCCCCATTCCCATCTCCATGCCCATCCCTGTCCCCTGTCCTCTGGCTGTCCCCTGTCCCCTGGGTGTCCCCTGTTTGTCCCCTGTCTCCTGGGTGTCCCCTGAGTGTCCCCTCCCCACAGGAGTCAGACGGGGACAGCAAGGCCATGCTGGCCATGGACCCCCTGTCCCCTGGGTGTCCCCTGAGTGTCCCCTCCCCGCAGGTGACAGACGGGGACGGCGAGGCCGTGCTGTCCATGGACGCTCTGCGGCAGCGCTTCCCCAACCCACAGGAGCTGGTGGGACACTCCCTCTATGTGTCCGTCACCGTCATCACCGAGTCAGGTCTGCGGGGACACGGGGACACAGGGGGGGACACGGGGACACGGGGGGACATGGGGGGACATGGGGGGACACTGGGGGTTGGGGACAGTGAGGATGGGGACACCTGGGGACATCCCAGAGCCACCAGAGCTGTCCCTGGGCAGGGGACAGTGAGACCTGGCACCGGGTGAGGTGGGTCTGGGGACACCTGGGCTTGGGGACAGGGAGCATGGGGGCACCTGGGGTTGGGGACAGAGAGCATGGGGACACCCGGGGCCACCCCAGGGCCACCAGAGCTGTCCCTGGGCAGGAGACAGTGAGCCCTGGCACCAGGGGATGTGGATCTGGGGATACTTGGGGTTGGGGACAGGGAGGATGGGGACACCTGGGGTTGGGGACAGGGAGGATGGGGACACCCGGGGCCACCCCAGAGGCTGTCCCTGGGCAGGGGACAGTGAGCCCTGTCCCCATGTGACCCGTGGCCATGCCCCCGGTGCCCCAGGCAGTGACATGGTGGAGGCCCAGCGCACTGGCATCCCCATCGTGACGTCGCCCTACACCATCCAGTTCACCCGCACCCCCAAGTTCTTCAAACCAGGCATGCCCTTTGACCTCCGGGTAAGGACACCTGGGGACAGTGGGGACGTTGGGGACAGCGGTGGGGACAGCGGGGACATTGGGGTCCCCGGGATGGGGACTGGGCGGGACTGGGGGATTTTGGAGGGGAGGGGGGGACTTGGTGTCCAATGTCTGTCCCTGTGTCATGTCCCTGTGTCACCTGGAGAGGGTCTGGGGACCCTGGGCTGTCCCAGTGTCGCTGGGGTGTCCCCTTCCCAGTGCCCCTTCCCAGTGCCAGTGCCCCTTCCCAGTGCCCCTTTCCAGTGTTCCCAGTGCCACCTACCCCTTTCCAGTGCCCCTTCCCAGTGTTCCCAGTGCCCCTTCCCAGTGTTCCCAGTGCCA